GGCACTGTCTTACCGTTGTTCGAAGAAATGTATTCATGCATTCGATTGGTACTTTGTCAGTTACCGCGTTCTGGTACTACACTTTAGCATAAATTCCCCCTTACTATCAGTAATAAACAGTTAGCCAAAATGTTGTGAAATACGTGAAGCTTCGGTGTCAAGATCACTTAAACCATAAGTTAATTATTAATCCTGCATATTAATTATCTATCTTTTGCAATATAACTACATACTTTTGAATATCGTGCTATCAGCACTTTTAAAGCAAAGCAAATATCACAACTTTATGCAGAGAAAGTGTATCAACAAGTACAATCAGGGAATATGTCGGTGTCCCATCTTAAAGGCTACGGTTGTTTGAATGTTTTATACGCATTAGGACGACGCAGAACAATAACAATAAGATGCCTTTGTGTATGAAAAAGGACGCTCAATTGTACAGGGCTTTTCATTAAATTTCCGTTAACAGCTTACTGCTGTCTAACTGGTTATTTGTAAAAGGTGGAATTTCGTGTTATTCTGAACACCGCGCATTGCCGTGACTGTATATATAGTAAACATGCTCATTAGACGTTAAAACTTTTTATATCGTTATAAAAAAAACTGTTCCTCTAACTAATGCATTAATCAGTACGCTAAAGAACTGCTTTTTAATTATATCGATCTCATCTCATGTCAAGTGAACTTTTATAGTGATGTCGATATGTCATATCGATATTTTGAAATTGTATTGCAAAATATACTTTCGAAATAACATTTCAAGGTCGTGTACACACTAGATGTATGACTTTATGTTATTGAGTGTATTTGAGAAACACGTATGTTATTAGAATGGATAAACTTGTGAACGTTAAGGTAAATCATTAAAGAACCAGTCAAGTAATTAAGGTCGGTAAGAAATATATTTGAACATTATCACCAAAACTATTACTTTACGTATTATTAAGAAAATAGTTTAATAAGAATGAACACTCAGTAATCAAGACAAATAATAGTTACAATTAGTAATTTACGTTGTCATAAAAATCGAAGTTTGTTGTCCTTATAATTAAATTTTATCAAATATTTCATACTAATCCAACATAAAAAAACATTCTAATGTCATCAATAGGGCAAACCCTTTAAACTAGAACCTGATATATTTATGGTAAACAAAATTAAAATGTCAATTCATACTCACATACCTTAGATAAGTCAAGGCCGTTGACTTTCGCAGCCATCGTGTTTGCTTGCAGTTTAACATTTAACGGCTAATCTGTTAAATAAACAGGTTTCACTATTTCGAAAACGAATAACATTATGATAAACATTATATTTCTTTATCAACCTATATTATTTATTTTTGTACAAAAGTTACTATTATGTGAACTGTTCATACTATTGCCTATAGTAATAAATATAAATAAATAATTAAAATCCTAAAATTCAAATGCAACTTTTATTTAAAGTGCTTAAAACCAATGTCAAAAGATTTTTGCAACGTTCGTAATAAGTGACATACAAAATTCATTCTTACAAAATGCACATCTTGAACTGACAACTGAAATAACTCAAGTTTCGCAAAATCTCAAGTTGTTACAAATTTTTCTGTTTAATAATAAGAACATTACTTTAATAACGAATTATTGACTTTATCATTATTAATCACGGTTTTTTTATAAACGAGAAACATTTTTTAAAAAATTTTATCAACATCGATATAATTCATCGATAGATATGACATCCTTATGCGCTAATGAGTCCTTTAATCGGCATAAAAGAGAAAACTTGTTTGTACTGAGTTTTCTTAACGAACTTTTATAGCTACTATTAGTTACGCTTGTTTCATTTTGTTTATTTTAATTCTTACGAGTAGAGAAATTAATAAAAGTTATGATCAAATTAAATATATTAAATTTTCCTTCCTCATTACTGAATATTTTCATCGATTTTCTACCTCGAATAGTAAAGTTATAAAAACCTAAATTTAATAATACATATGTCCATTTTCTGAAGGCAGATTGTCAAGGTCAATTAAAAACAATAATAACTTATTGTCAATAACTTGACGCATACAAGTTGAATTATATTTAATTCTCAGAATTTGTTTCTGTTAAGTATTTTTAGCAAGTGTCGCGTGGGTGTTCGTTGATTCACCATTGTAGCTGACTGTACCCCTGCCACGTGTTTGTGCTACTCTACGATGGTTTCTGACTATAGCGGAATGTTTCACAGGACCTGACTGTACTACATACTTCGTACTATTCAGAATTGGACTAAAGAAATCAGCTACTGAAAGCGACTGCAACATTGTTTCTAGCTGTACCAACATGGAACACCACAGTACGTGACTGTACTACATATTTCGTACCATTCATCTTCGTACCACAGAAATCAGTAACTGGCAGCGACTGTACCACTATTGCTGACTTTTCTTCGGGATATACTTATTACTACATGCTTCGTATATTGGTACCATTCAGCATTGTACCAAAGATTTGCAAGATATGGTTAAATAGGTAATGAAAACCAGGGGTGGTCAACCTTGTTACAATAAAATTGGCGCCAACTCAGATATATGACTAACACGTGCCATAAATTGTATCCAACAGTTGTTGTTGACGTCATAATTTGCAACAAACAGTTTATTATTAACAATATTACAGTGTTTATCCTTTAGCAGGCGGCGCCGCGCGGCACGCCTAGCTAACCGGGTCACGGTCAAGTGCTCAGATGTAGCGTGGGTTACTTATTGTTCGACTCATCTTAAAACGATTACTTCTAGGAATCAAGAGCTTAGTATTACTTAGTTAATAAAATTTATAGCATCTGTGAAAAAAAAATTACATGAATGCTTCATATCTGAGTTAGATTATTGAGGAAATGTGTTAAAGAACAAGTTGCTTTACAGTTTCCTTCAATTAAATTCCCTTTCTTATCAATTTGACCACAACTGTAAGCAATAATTAAGCCTTTTGCTTATAATTCGAGACCTTTGCATATCGACCTCGGTACTTTAGGGCGCGGATATTGTCGTGTAAACGTGTTAACAGCAATATTAACGCGCGGCGGGACGCAGAATGTACTCCGGCGCCGGCGCATGCGCAAAGGCCACGCGGCGTGGCAATGACCCCTTTATCCTTATACAGCGTGTTGCGAAACCCGACAGCATTCCCCAGAACATCTGTTCTGACGACCAGGTGAAGGTTGCTGCCTACTGAACCTTAGGGCTTTTAGGTAAACAAGAAAGAAACTCCTATCTTTGTTTTGTCACTACACTAAACTTCCAGATGAAGTAAAAGATTCAACGTCATTCAAATTACTGTTCAGTTGAAGGCATCTACAATGATGTCAGAACTTTTAGCGGGATTTAATGCTAGTAATTATCATACAAGTTATTTGTTAGTTAAAAGAAACATAAAGATGTTACTCTAAATAATTAAGCAGATAAAATTAAAGCCCATTATTCTGTACCTTTAACACTTTTACACATAGACCGAGAAGACGACAATTAATTCTTTATGCGTTCAATTGAAGAGCTGTCACTCTGCGAGGCAATTAATTCTTCCCCCGACGTATCCCACGACACAGCATCGGCATTCCATCCTCTCTGACGGGTCGGGGTAAATATAGTGTCCAGACCTATGATCTACACTCGGCGCCTGAGATTCTCAGATTGTTTATTTGCTAAACTTAAATGACTTGTGATCTAATTGGCATCACAAGTTAGTTTATAGTTTTTCTTTGTTAGATTCTTCAAAAGTGACTACAATTTATTTCTAAAGCTACAATAATGTATCTATCTTCATAAGCTGTCTTTAGTACTTATAATACTAGCTATACTAGCTTTTGCCCGCGACGTCGTTCGCGTGGATTTAGTAGAAAAAACAAAAATAAGTAGCCTATGTATTATTCCTGGCTATGTTCTATATCTATTCCAAATTTCAGATCCGTTAAGCCGTTTAGGCTACAAACTAACAAACATCTATCCATCAATCTAAACTTTCATAGTGATAATATTAGTCAGAAATGGAGTTTTGGTATATTTTTGTTTATCGCAAACCATTGAGAACTACGCTAAACTAAAGACGTTACAATGTAGTATTTTGAAATGGTTATTTAATATTTGTCTTGGATCAGTAGAATACAGCAAATGTTGATAAAGGTAGAGGAGGGTCGAAGAAAGTATGAATGGATTGCATGAAAGAAGATATGCTTAAGAAGGTAGTGAATTCTGGTATGATGGCTGATTGAGTACGGAAGAGCACATAATGTGCCGACCTCCCATAGGGACAAGGACAATTTGGTGATCAGTGTACTGTAAATCTGGCTTCGTTCTTTTGTTTTTCAGACTTAATCTCTGTAGATAATAGCTACGGACGTCTGATGCACTCTAGACATAAAGTTAGTATAGTCGTGTCGCAACATATTGGCTACTTGTCGTGTTTGTGTCGGCCTTCATGTTCATTAAATTGGTTGTTGTTAATTACCGGTTCGCTAACCGCGGGTGTTCCACTCGTTGGAGTCTAACTCGGTAATTGATTAAATATTTTACTTGATTGTTCAATACAATGAAATAGCTTTACAGTACGATGTTACGTATCTATTTGAAATTATTCTTTGCCGTAGTTAAAAATGTTATCGACGTTACAAGGCGTAACGTTCGAAGCAGCGGCTTGTTGCTTGCAGGTTTCGTACTTACTAACTGTTCGCAGTGTAACATGTTATAACTCCGTCGGTTTGTTCACTTCTTGTTAATAAACAATAGTAACTGTGGAGTACAAAATAAAAGACGGACGATAGCTTCTAAATGTATTATCCGACTAAAATAAATCGCATACAATTGCATCGTATAACCCGACCAGAATTGCAAGTACATCATTCCCAAAAAACCAAAAGAGTAAAGTAGAAGTACGCAAAGAAGAAATAAGACAACATTATCGTAACAGAAGCAGTACATTGTCGATGAAAATTAGTTCTTCTTGCTATAGCTTTATGGTTCAATATTATATCCGACTTACCGATTATAATCCGTGACGTCACTATGAAGACAGCACCATGGCCACAAAACACAAACACTCACTAGCACAATTTTTTCGTGTCGATTCACATCACATTGTCGTGTCGTTGTAATTGGAACTCTACGCCGTTTGTTTTAAGTCAGTTATTCCTTTGAGACCTGCAACAAAGGTATTATTGATTTGAACTATGTAACAATGTATCGTGATTAACTAAAATATTTAACACTTGATCTAACTTTATTCGACTTAACTATCTGTAGTTGTACAAAATGTTTTGAGAGTAGAGAAAAATTAAATATCCCGCTGAATTGTAAATGCAAAATTTTATACGGATGTTTGTTACAGTTTGTAGCCTAAACTGCTGAACGGATCTCGGTGAAATTACGTATAAATATAGAGGATAGTCTGGAAGAACACTTAGGCTACTTACTTTTGTTTTTAATTACACGCCAAGGGAGTCACGGGCGAAAGCTAATACAGAAATATATCTGATTTTTTCTATAACCAATCAGTTAGAGGCGTGAACTTGCAACATTATTTATAAAATAATGGCATTGCAAAAGAAACAATTGTGCCAATTATCTATGTATAGTGTTAGGACTGTTAAGTTGCATAAGTTAGATGTGCGAAGTGCGAAAAGTGATGAAAGTGCAAACTTATATTGCGATTGTATATAAAAGCTTTGTAAACAAATCGAAGGTCTATTTGATTTGATGTAAACAAGAAATTGACAGCTTAAAGCTTAGAGTCGGATTCCAAGAGAGATTTAAGTAACATAAAAGAATTTTATTGTCAAATTGAAAATATAATACTTCAACGAACAATGTTTTTCAAAAGAATATTACTGTGATAATAGAGTTTATTAAAAAAAAACACTTTTGGTTTACAATTTATTTTCATTCAGTTAAATTAACTTAGAAACTTACAGATTTCTTTTATAATTTGGAAATTTGTTTTATCTTAAAAACAATAAACTTATTAAGCTTTTCAGCACAAATTTAATTATAATACTACCTCATTATATTGATAAGGTACAGAGAGGAGCTCTTATCACAACATCGGGTCTATAAATAAAGGCGGCGCGCTCAAAGACCTAGCTTTTATCTCCACTGATAAGGAACTTAAGAGGTCTAAAGTTCGTTAAAATTACTATCTCATCTCTCAATTGTAATGAGATTGGTACAAAGAAAGCAAAGCAAAGTTAAAATTATTTAATTCCTTGTTAAAACAAAATTGGAGTCGGTTTTAATAAACATTGACAAGAAAAAAATATTACTTAGTTATTTAAAAAAAAAGAACATCTAGTGCAACTTTCATTTATTTATTCAATTCAATATGTTTAAAGATGCCGTTAGATGTTAAAATATTTATACTTTCGAGGAATTTAGCTCATCTTTTACATTTGGAAATAAAAAAAACACGACTCTGTGTCTTTGTTATGAATAATATCAAGCAGAAATGATTCGCTAAATACTATTAAGTTGAAAATATAAAACATAAAGTTCAATTTAAGATCTTATGTAAAACATTTTGCCAACTTTAAGTAAATAGCATGAAATTGTCAAGCCCGTGCGGGAGTTAGCGCGGCTAAGCGCTGGCGCCAAGGCTGCGCGTGGGAGGCATCGCAGACCCCGTCCGACCACTCGCCTCCTGTCTCTATCAAAACATTTTTGTTCTAACAACGATGTAGTTCTATATTAGAGTAGAATTCTATTGCCGTTCTATTGATAAATATTGAAGTCTTTTTACCAAAGGAAGTATAAGATGGAAATAAAGGTACAGTAAGTAAAAATTATTATAATAGATAATAACCAAGACGCCATAGTGCTTTGAATTTAGGTTATGTTAATTTGCTATAAGCTAACTGTTAACGCAGGGTTTAGTCTATCTGTGGTTGACTCTGCAAATAACTGCAGCACATCTTATGTACAAAGTTAAACTTAGATAACATTTGTACTTACACGTCAGTATCAATTTAAAGTTTTTTATACGAAATAATGAGATTTATATTTTCATTTTCAAGACTCGTTTTTATCCATTCAAAACGTAATAATAAAGATTATTCAAATGTTATGACTAAGTATCTAAGTTATTTAGAAGTTAATTTAATAACATCCCTCTACTGTAATGACGTACAGCTAAAAATATTATAAAACTTACAATGAACATATGAGTGAAGAATGAAACAAGATATATTGTTAGATTATTAATTGTTATAAGTAAAACAATTGTTATATTTGACTTATAACAACTTGTGAATTATACCAATACAGCTTTAATAAGTTTTAACAAGATATGTCAAAAGCAAATCGAAAACTAATAGTGGAAAGTTCTGTCCACAACAACGCTTGAGGCTTGTGTTTATTCAACGCATTTTCGGTCACTTTCGATAGTTCACACGCCCCAAGCTGGCTGATCTGTGTCAAATAGTTTTCTACTGACAAATTATCTAAATTAATGACTACATAAATACTTCTTTAAATAACTTTTTTTTGATAAACTTATGCGCTATAAGATAACAATTATACCTACTAGGTGTATTACTCTAGAAAATAATTTAAACTAGATACTTAAGCCAGCTACACGCAGTTTTATAACACAGTTCGAAGCTTTAGTTAAAACTGTAATAACTGAGAGTCTCGCTGACTTCACGTTTTTAAAGCCTAACAGTGTTTACGTTTTGTATTATTTGTTAAAGTCAACTTCTCATAATAAACAGTAGTAGAGTATAAATAAAAGAATAAATATAAATAAAATGCATATAAATGATTATTTATTAGTCTATTTTATTAGACTACATTTTCATCAATTCAATTTATGCTGAACGTTTTCTATGTCCTGCGCCTGTCTCTAGTTGTCGCGTCATCTAACAACCAGCTTAATGTCATGTCATATTTAGATTCATTATTCATGTTTTAGACCGCTAGAGGTCGTGCGGGTTGATATTAAAATTATTAAAATAATAATTTTACTTCTCTATCCAAAAGTTATAGACAGAGATTACAGATTTAAGACAATCCTAGATACCTAATACTGCTCTTCTGTAGGGTTAACCATAAGGCATTCAAGCCACCATATGACGCCATTTAATTATCACCAATATTGTAAATATAAACCTATCACAAACCCTAATCTAGGTCCTACTAAGTATTATTTTTGTAACATAAATATACCGTCCATGTAGAAATAAGAACAATGTACTATATCTATACCAAATTTTAGCAAGGTCTATTGAGCCGTTCTATATATTTGTTGTTACAAACATTCATCCATCTATCCACCTAAACCCTTGCATTTATAATATCGGTTAGCAATATTTTACTATATATAACCAACCAAACATAAATACGAGATAGTCGACCGAGTGGTTAGTTAAAATGCCATCTGGAAATAGAAGAAATCTTAAAATGCCGGAAATGGTCGAGAACCGGCGTGTTTCGCGACCAAGCCCGAAATAGTGGGGTTCGGGGTTCCCGAAGGACTGTACCAGCCGGGGAATAGATCAAAAGCTCTACTGATTCATTCCCACCATAATTAATTTAATGACCCACTTTAATATACCATATTTACAATGTAAACTCCAGCGCCATCTAACGTTTCCTTTGAAGATTACATTTAACAAAATCTGTTATTGTTCTGTGGTTTAAATTGTAATTAACTACTGTTATAGTGTGATTTTGGAGTATCAGTGTCTGGTTTCCATTTACAGCGCACGTTTGACTAAACTGTCACATAACTGCGGTGCGATTGTCGATTGTTTCGTATCCCATCCAACTGCGCACTTTACTACACAGTTATGTGGTAGTTTAATCCAAATAATATTGAATTCTGATCCTTTGTACAAATGTTTAATATGTAAACACATAAGCACTTAACGAAGGTCAAATAGGGATTAAGTTACTAAGGGCGGCGGTGCACAAAAACTTAGAGTACTGAGGGTTTTAAAAATAATTCTTATTTCAATCAAAAAGTATTTCCAATTTGCCAACCTCACCCTAAATGTAAAAATTTAAAAAATATATTATCTTAACATTTGTATAATATTTTATGAATTAATTGTTTTTAACATTCAGTAGTTTATTTTAAAAATAAAACAGAAATACTACAAACGAATATAGCACCAAGACAACGGAAATAAACGTCAAAATCGTATCATTGACGCTTATTTAAGTAACCCACTAAACTTTGTTGTACTTCAATTTCCACAAAGTTATATAAACTGTTTGTTTTGTTTCAATTAAAAAGTCATGAATCTTATTCTTAGTCGAATAAAGTTGAAAATGTTCCTGTTTCTATTTCGATAGTCGCATTTGAAGTTGGTAATGGGGACGGATGCGTTTTAATGGGCGTACGTGTCGAGAATTTTTAATTAGTTTTTTTTAAATATTTTATTTGACTTCTGCTTGCTGAGCTGAGTATGCTTTGCAGTTTGTCCGTTTTAGCGTAACTATGACACTTTGAATGTCGGAAAATAATTATCAAAAAGGGGTAAATTATTTTAAACTAGTTGACAAGATTCTCCACAAACTATACTGTACTAAGTATACTGTTACAATGCTTATTAATTTTTTACTAAGCAAAGTGATTCAAATGTAACCAAAGGCGTTCTGTTCCGGATCGAAAAGATTAGTCACAGCTTCATGGCCGTACGCCTTATTAGAACTTATTGTTGTGCGATGTGACAGAATTATGTTTTAATTCACAATTATATTTATATATTAGCAAATTATCTTGCCCTTGTCGGCACAGTATGTACTCTTCTATACCTCTCTATCAGCCGTTATATCTTAAACCATTCCCTTACGTAAATCCTGTTTTACAAAACGAATGGATTAGATGTTTTCTTATCTCTACTACTGTTCATATTAATATCATTACAATCTTTCTGATATTATAAATGCGAAAGTTTAGATGGATAGATGTTTTGATAAAGTTTGTAGCCTAAATCACTGAACGAATCTCGATGAAATTTTGCATAGATATAAAGCATAGTATAAGAATACATAGCCTATTTAATTTTGTCTCTTTTAAATACACAGCAAAAAAGTCACAGGCGAAAGCTAGTATTCAAATATCTGAAATTATCTATTAAAAATCAAATTAAAAAAGTGAGATTATGCACTTTATCAAAGTTTACATTAAAACCGTTCATA